ATGCAGTCCTGAATATGAGGAACCGGATATCTATCAGGCAAAGTAACTGAATTAAGACGTCGATAATCCCCACAAGGACGCCAGTCGCCGTTTTTCTTAGGGACCATGTGGAGTGGACTGGCCCATGAACTTTTAGATGGCCGACAGATTCCTTGCTCAAGCATGTATTTAAATTCTTCTTTTGCAGCCTTTAATTTCTCTGGAGGCAACCGCCGTGCTTTGGCAAAGATTGGTGGTCCAGTAGTCTCTATGACGTGTACAATACCGTGGTCAGCAGTCGGTTTGCCAGTTACTGAGCGGATGACGTTAGGGTATTGCTCAAGTAGTTTGTGGAAAGGAGAATTACCGGAAATTAATTTAATTCCAAAATTAGTGGCATTTCCAATGCTACCTACCGCGGACAATTGTGTGATGGAGTCGAGTAAGCGTCGATTTTTAATGTCGACCAACAGAGAAAATTTTTGCAGAAAGTCTGCACCAATTATTGGGTGCGAAACCGCAGCGATGACAAATGGCCATTGAAATTTGCGACGCAATCCTAGATCCAAAGACATTAATATTTCTCCATATGTTGCAATTTTTGACCCGTTAGCTGCAAATAAGTTAAATTTTCCAGGCGGCCGTTTGGATTCGGCAAAAGAGGGAGGTACAACCGAAATGTCAGCACCTGTATCAACAAGAAAACGTCTGCCTGATGGTTTATCTGTTACGAACAATCGACTAATGCACGGGCCGTTGTCACTCATGGCTTCGAGTGACGGCCCCTTCAGTTTAAAGAGGTCTTCTGAAATTTGCATGGAGGTGTACACTTGCGCGCTTTATCACCGAATCGGCTGTGATAGAAACAAATGTCTGATTGAGTACCAGAATGAGCGCGTTGGTATTCCCTATTATTTCGGTTCCGGGACTTTGATCTACCGCGCGGATGATACTGAGATTGTGTCTGTAAGGCTGCGACCTGCAATGATAATTCCTGGATTTGTTGTTGAAGAGATGAAATATCAACACTGGGATGCTGAACTTGACTGATTGCTTGTGGTTGGAGAACATCATGAATTTTGTCTGCCATTTGGGCCAGTTGGGGTAGGTTCTCGTTACTGGAGGCAAGAATAGCTTGGATATTGTTCGGGAGACGATTGAGCCACAATGATTGTAAAACATTGGACTTAAAATTGTCACCCGCAAGCTCCTGCATTTTTGACAATAACTGGGATGGGCGCATATCACCAAGTTGCAAATCTTGTAATAACTGCTTTAGTTTGGTGTTTTCAGACTCCTCATAAACTGAAATTAATTTATTTTTCAATTCCTCGTATTTATTATCCGAGGGGGGGTTTCAGAACAATCTCGCGTACTGACTGAAGAACCTCAGTGTCGAGGGCGGAAATTGCAGTATAAAATTTCGTGTCGTCGCGTGTTATACCCCCGAGCTTGAATTGTGCATCTAATTGAAAAAAACCAAAGGTTGGGGTCACTACGGCAAAATGGGGCAGGTTTCACAGCAACGCGAGCCATTTGTTTGTCATCAGTGGCTAGAGGATCGCTAGTAGCCATAATAAATATGAATAAATACAGATAACAAAAAAAAACGATATAGTTCAAGAATATTGTTGCAGTACACGTGAAGAAACACAAAATAATTAATGTTAGGACCTGGGTTCAAATGAATATAGAAAAAAAACTCACCCGCTTGACGAATACATACGAATCCATGTGCGGAATAAAAGGTAGAAAATATCACCTTGATGTACAGAAATTATCCACTCGCTTGATGTTGGAACACTATCACTAATGGAAGATGAAGGTAATCCAAAAGTGGCTGTAATATGATGAAACTGATGCACGATCCAATCCAATAGACACGATAAGTAATCCAATACACATAAGTAAAAAATATTGGTTCAGCTGCATTTCGCACATTATTACAAGGTCTTGTTTAAGCACAAAATTTCTGCTGTACTATAAATTTCGACGATTCATTTGGCTTAAGCCTCACCGTCCTGAAGTCACCATTTGTTGCACGTGGTTGCGGCTGTGTGCAACAACAAACTATGCGTATTGGAATTTGCCAGTGCTTTTAAGGATGAATTCCTAACATGCCATAAGAGCCAAATTTTTGATAATTAATCTACAGTCGACAGACAATCACGTGGACTGTGTGTCGCCGAAATCACCTTCGGTTACAGTTAGTGATAACGGCGCGCGGTTGGCGAGTACAACAATGTTTAAGGTCGCACAGCGATGTTTGGCGACGGGGATTAACCCTAGACCAATTTATTATAGCTGTATTACAGAAATTAAGATACTTAGGTTATGTACACAAGAATTTACTAACGTCATTAGAAATATTGAGAAGATATAAACTTTAAATGAAGGAGTAAGTAATATTATTCTTACTAGGCACCTGAACCAGGTTTCCAGTTATCTCTTCGGCAATTATTTACCCAAATTTTTCTTTATTTTTTGGAAATTTTACCAATATATGATCTTTCCGTGAATGATTTGAGCAATTAATAGCTCCACATCGCCTCATTTTAAAAAGCACAACAAGAAATTGTTGCACCGCTAACTATTCTGCTGCTATTAATATTCCTACTTGGGCTATGGAATGGAGGATGATTCAGCCTGGTATATAGAAGCCTTATGTTCAGACGCCAAAACTTCTACCGACACACAGGGATAAAAATAGGTTGTAGTTTAATTGTAGGTTATAAGTTTGCAAGCTGGCGCCGGAAATTCTAGCTCCGATGCTGAACGTAAAGTATTGTAATAGTCAGATCAAAATGTACAGTTACGGTACTGTATTTAGGCATTTAAGACGTTTAAATTTCCCTCATTTGTTTACGTTTTGTGATTTGCTGAGAAGTTTTGGTTATGCGCGAAATGAAGTGAAGCAAGAGCTGGTTGCTATGGCTGAAGTTTGTTGTAAACGTGTCTTGAGTGGTTGTATGTCAAAAGCCGCTAAGCTGCCATTCGAGTGGTAGCGTTATGTTTACGTTCGCGTAATTATAGAAATTTAAATGTGTCATTTCGTGGCTTTTTTTTATTCTGTTTTGCCCGTTTTGAATGAAAATTATGTCAAGTGAATTTAAAACAAAAATTTTTCACAGTTTATTGAGTGATTTATGAACAAGGAATAATGTCAGTTTGTGGGTGTATGTTGTATGGAAACACCCTTAGGATCACGTTCATTTATAAAGTGCGCATAATTTGAAAGGGCTCTTAAAGGACTTAAAAAAAAAAAAAAGAAAAAGGAAAAATCAAAAATGGAGTCTCAAGATTTTAGTGAATTGGGATTAAGTCAAGTCGGTCTGAAAGCTAGGTCTCCCGAGGGACATGCTGCACGAGCAATGCATATTAAAGGAGATGAATATATTTGGGTGGAGATACAAGAGAAAACTTTTAAAAATTGGGTTAATGAACAGATTAAACCCTTAAATATGTCTATTACCAATCTTCAAACAGATTTTAGTGATGGACTTAAACTTATAGCTTTGATTGAAGTTCTACAAAAGAGAAAATTGAAAAAAATAAGAAAGCCATTGAATCAACACCAGTGCCTTGAAAATGTGCAAATTGCACTTCAAGCAATGGCATCTGACAATATAAAACTGGTTAATATTGGTTAGTACAATTTTTATTATTTTAAATTCATATAACATTTTTATTTATGAAAACAGCATTATTCATGAAAAGTGTTTTAACTTCATGAAAGTTTGGTTATTCTATGTAAAATTAATCTTGAAGTTTTATTATAGGTTAATCTTTAAGAACAAATATAATTTATCTTAAATTCATGTTTCTTCAATTAGAATGATAATGGAAAATACTAAATTTTAATGTTTTTGCTTGTAATGCTTCTGTTATTTTAACTATAAATGTCTGTATAAATAACTGAGCTGCAAAGTGTATTGCAAGGTAATATCGAGGTAGTTATGATTTTATGTACATTTATTGATTCAGTAAATTATATCCTTAAAATAGCAGGCATATAGTGTTCGAGTGCTTTGCCATAATCAAATAAACCAAACCTTAACCTACCTTGCCTAGAATCTTCTGTGAACTTTATTAATTTATTGCTGGATAGCACATGTCAGGTCATGCTCTAAGCATTTAGGACGTATAAACTGAACTGCTCTTAAACATATCTTAAAATGTATCACAAGCATGACACTTTTTCTAGTCATACATCTGACATTCTGTTATATTCTCATGATGCATTTTTTTTATCATTCTTTGTAATGCAGTATAATGGGTTTTGAATATGCATACTATAATGATTCTGGAGTTAATAAGTAGAGCATTAATTTATCAAATCGGATGTTATCTGAGAAACTAGCCTGGGCAGAAGTTAAGTCATTTATACATACTAAAAATATAGGTAAAATGAAAAAATAGAAATAAAAAAATAGGTATGGTTTGAAAATTTAGAAGCATAACATTTTGAATATTATTAAATAAGTAATAAATCTCTGTGTTCTCATTGAAATATGTAAAAATGCATTACAATTAATATTTTATGTGCTTACTTGGAAATTCTATTCTACCAACTAAGATTGCATAATTTGTACAAGGTTTAAGTACCCTTATGTGAATGCTTTTATGTTATGTTCAATATAAAAGTATTTCAGTATATGGAATATGTTTTAAAACAATTTTTTTGACATTTTTATATTATATATCTTTTGTGCGGCAAATTTTTAGCATATTTAAAGTTACCTCTTTATATAGAAATTGGATTGAAATATACATATATATTTGAATATTATGTATAAAATTGCTCTGGAGTTGACAGAAAAAATAAGTTAAGAAAATCATAAATATATTTTTTTTGACAAAATAGCAACAAATATTTATTAGATTTATTATGTAATGTTTTTCAGAGTTTATTGTTTAGGTGTATTTAAATGTCTGTTGAAAATAAAAATATCAAATGGTGTGAAGTAGGCAAATGTAGCCTTAAGTTAACATTAGTTTTATAGAAAAAATGCATTTCGTTCCTCTCTTTCTCAAAGTGCATAGTTTTTAAAAACTAATGCCTAAACTATTGTCGATCTAAGTTTAATTTCTGTGTAAACTTTAATTTCAATCTGATATACTTTTTTGTTCAAATACATAAATTTACATATTAAGTTATAAGAATTTATTTTTAATACTTTTTCACCAATTTGTTGCATATCTTTTACATTAATTTTGATATATTTTTTTTTAAGATAAATAAATTCTTCAATTATTTTCGTTTACGCACTCTGATTCATCTTCATGTATTCAATCCAGGAATTATAAAATATTCTCTATTTGAAGTAAAATGTGTTAAAATTCCATTTTACTCAGTAATAGTAATTAAATTTATTTTAATTTTACAGTTTAAAGTACAATGTAAATTGGTCAAATGGCAGATCGTTTTGGTTTTACTAACTTTCCACCTACCTATTAAATTATGATTCCCCCCCCCTCATAAACATATAAAAATTAAAGTTATTTTCATGTGTGGGTCTTATATGTGTAAAATCTCATGCTTCCTATATAAGTTAGCCATAGGTGGGTATGTATAGTGGGGTTTGATATGTTCTTACGAAATACACCATTTCTGAATAGGGGTGAATCCAAAAAGAATAAAAGAAAAAATAATATATAAATAAATTATTTTTGATTTTATATTTAACAAATCCGCAACTTAGGATTTCCGATGCATATTAGATACGCTTTGCAAAAAAATATAATAAAAATCAATAATAATATAAAATAAAATAAATAAATGTGAAATGTCGCGGTTCAGTTAATAGCAAAACTCTTCGGAGAGAAAACACTTCCAAAATGCCATGTCTCTTCCGTGTTTACGTAAGCTACCTCCGATCCGTAGAAATTTGAAGGCGTCACCAACTTGAGTTCGGCCACTAAGTTACAGGCAAACCTTTTTTTCTTGGTAACAAACAACGACTTCGGAGGCGGGTTTTCGGCGAACCTCGCTTGAAGGAGGGGGAACGCCGATACAAAACTTTTCAGTGAATTTCCAATTTTATTTGTTTGCTTTAAAAATTAAGCCGCTTTGCGGTTAGCCCCAAATTTTCACTAAAGTAATATTGTTTTCGGGCTTAGTAGCTTCCCCATAGTTTATATCGGGTATGGCTTGAAAACCTTCTGTGAGATTTTGCGTCTGAAGTTAAATACCCCCGAAGGCACCCAGCTATCTCCCGCCATTTTTTTTTTGTCCACAAGGAATTGCTGAAGGATGATTTGTATTTGGCTTTGGTTTATTCCTATATGTCGGTTCGCTTTTTGTTGCCAAACTTTTTTTTTATTCCGAGCAGATCTGTAACACGATGTTCTGCATTGTGAAAAAACAACGCCTAAAGCATCAAATTTTGTCCAGCCCCGCACCGCCTGTGGCGGCCCCTTGGAATTGTTTTATTACGCTTTATTTTTGTGAAATTTTTTGCTTAAGTTTTAAAGAACATGGCCTACCGAAGGTAACCCAAAAAACAACCAAACGAAAAAGAAAAAAAAAAAACCCCCAGCTGTGTATGAAATATATTTTTTTAAAATTATGGCAATTGCTGTTGAACTTTCTACCACAAGTCAAAGGGCACCCCCAAAGTTACTCACGCCCCTGCCGCCGATTGAAATAATTTACGAACAAAGCCAACTGGTTTTTTTCCGGATTCCGTTCCCGGTTCCTTTATTTGCCCGGCTTCGCAAGAAAGGTTTTTGATACTAAAGCACAAGGTGCCTTTATGGAGGACAAGGCAAATGGCCCGTATTACACATGGAGAAAACCACGAAACCTCCCATGCGGCCAGCGTTCCCCGGGATTCGAACCTTGAACGAAAATGTTCACGCACGATTGGGGGGCCTCTACTTATTGTATTTCTGTGCCCTGCCAAGGGGAATTTTTTTTAGAATCCTTAGCGTGAAGTTTCATAACAGGCGAATACAACGTTTTAACGAGAGACGTCGTGTGGAAAAAGTATGTCACATGTCATATTGAATCTCTTTTAAGGCTAAAAAATCATTCTTTATTTTTTTTTTATTTTTTTTTTAAATCTAGGTTCTGTTCCCAACCGGCTAACGCATTTTTACTACGTTGATTGTTCCAACCCTGGTACAATTGCATGAATTTTTATATAGTCAATTTTATGCAATAAGGCCCATTCGCGAAGTCCATAAATCCATAAGAAAATCCCCGCCCGCCTGGCGAAAATATAGAAATTCATGTTCATCAAGAAGTCAAGGGTTAATTATCAATGTATGAGAATGCCCTAGTGAAGTAAAGTCTACGGGTTTACATATTTCTGAGAAGCTATTCGTAGAATTGAATAATTCTTGCATTTAACTGCATTAAATTAAGATTTAACTTGAAGTTAAGTAGATAATTACTGAGAGAATAAATTTTTGTAGTAGTTTACGTGAGATAAGATCACTTGGGGCCAGGTAATATGAACCGGGACTCAGGATGTTGTATCATGAAAGCATAGTAAAATATTGTCTTTTTTACAAATTTATTGCCTTTTATTGACTTTTTTACAAAATTTGAAACGACATTAAATGTTTATAACTTTTAAAAAAAATTCTGAAAAACTAACATTGCTAAATTTTTATGTGTATACGTGTGTTGTCGCCAATAAAGTCTGCTTGGCGAGATTTGCGCCGACGAAACGGAAAAGTTTTATGAGGAAATAAAGGTTTAATCCTAGTATCCGATGCACACAGGATTTGTCGACTTTATAATGAGCAGTAAAAGCGGGACATTTACGATGAGTAGTTAACGAGAGTAAAAGCGGGACATTTACAATGAGTATTCAAAGAAAATGTACAGTTAAACATAGTATATACTATCTATATAGTATATATATATGTGTATAACATATCTATGTGGGTATAGTATACATATAGAGTTCTTTGAATCATTTTTGGTGTTGGCGATAATTTTCCAAGTCGTGCCAAGGCTGCACCGTATACTAGGATTTTACCGAAATGGTATATGAAAAATATTAATAAGCATCGAGAATGTAGAGAGGGTGTTCGCACATTTTTTAGACGATTTTCATTGCTATTCCAGAAATATTTTACCTAAAATTTTTATGTTTAAAATATTCTATTTGATAACTCTTAGGTTATTCTTCACTATCTTTCTGCATGGTATTTTCAAAAACAATAGAACCTTTTGTAATGTCGGAAGAGGTATTTTATCCCATTCCTCCTGAGCAGATTTTCAAAGTCCAAGTTCGACGTTTGGACAATCGGCTTTTTAAAAGTACGAAAGCGCAAAAATCCATGGATGATACATCAGGATTTTTAGAAGAGGATCTTGTTTATTTTTTCCATGAAATTAACAGAAGATTTTCACATGTCGCTGCTTGCTTTGTCTTGATGCAGTTCTACTGATTAATCATAGTGTGTAAAGAGAAGTTCTTTCATATTTGAAAATTGAGTATAAAATGTGTTTTTGGTAATATGTGGAGTTGGATCTTAACATTTTTCTCCACTCTGTTTTTAATTTGCTGTTAGATGAAAAACCAGCAACAATCATAAACATCAATAATATAATCATAAATGTCAACAATCATAAAAACTTTCTTTAGATTCCTTGAACCATATTTTAAGTCATCTTTGATGATAATAAA